GGTATGCAGGATGTAAGAATTGGAAAATTACTTGCTGAGAACATGTATGTTGATGTGCTTGATTGAACCTGTACACAGTGTATTTTGGATGGAAAATTTATTGGTGGGTTGTGATGGTGTATAGTGAATTAAGGTAGAAAATAAAAATTAAAAAAAGAAAAAAAAAACTAATGTCAGGCGTGTGTGTGTGTGTGTGTGTGTGTGCACGTGCACACCCATGATCCCTGGCACAGAATGGAGGAGAAGGATTGTGCCATGGTCATCCCCCCCTCCTTAGGGAGTGATTTCTCGCTCTCTCTTTGTCTCTCTGGCAAGTTCATGTATCCTATAGCAAAAATCTTTTTTTTTTTTAAAGCATCTCATATAATAAGACTTTACTACTTTAAGTATAATATATACTTTAAATCATTAATTTTAATCATTAATTTATTTTTAAAGATTTTAGCAAAAATCTTTTTTTAAAGAGTCTCATATAATAAGACTTTACCACTTGAAGTATGATCTATACTTAAATAAATCATTAATTTATTTTGGCACAGACTCTAGATTATACCATTAGAGGATTTCTGGTCTCTTCTCTGCTCAGTTCTGATTTTAAAGCTTCATAAAGATTATGGAATTGGCTTGAGAACTACAGCTTTAAGTCATCAGAGATATTTTTAAAGATATCTAGTAATCCTTAGCAAAAAAATAAATTGGAATTTTAAATATCAGAAATATTATGTACACCAGTCTGGTCCATCATTAAAGATGAAAAAAGCAGTCCTACTTTAGTAATGATTACTACTCAGCTTTTGATGTAATATCATGCCAGATATGAAGTACCTCTTATCTGCAAAGCCTAGATAGAGGTTATAAATTCTGTGCTCTTTTCTTCTGTGTCAGAATTCATAAATACAGTCATGCCCCACAAAGGTGGTTTCTGTCAAATGCACAGTGGCGGAACGATAGGCTGTGGCATGCAGCCTAGGTAGACCAGTTGTAGGCTCTTGCACCTAGGTTTGTGCAAGCATGTTTTGTGATGTCTACAACAATGGAATTGCCTATCATGCATTTCTCAGAACACCTCCTGATCATTACACACTGCATAACTATGTTTGTAAATGTTCACTTTAGTAAAAAGTAAAGAAGACCTTTATCCATCTGTTTTCTGAGGGCTATCTGAGCCGTGGAGGGCAGGGGCAGGACACTTTTGTTATGAACAGGGCCTCTTTCCATCAGGAATCCATCCTGCACATCTGACCTCAAGTGTCAGAGCTAGGGGCCACATGCTCCCTCCTCATGCCTGGAGGGAGACCCAACATGTTATTCCAGCCTTTATGAGCCTCAGTCTCTCCAGTAAGTAGGTTGCGCTTGGGGTCAAATAGTGGCTGTCTAAAAAAAAAAAAAAATAGTGGCTGTCTAAAGGCATAGCTGCAGTAAGCTGCCATGATGACTACCCCAGCACCCTACTACAGGCAAGAGCAATGGCCAGGAACACTAGAAAAGAGCCAGGCTCTGAATGATTCACAAGGAATGGGGCTGAGACCATAGTGCAGAGAGTCCAGGTGTGCATGGTTTTTGCAGTTGCTTTTCCCCAGAGGCTGTACATGTGAGGCTATGCTATATTTAATGGAATACATACATACACACAAACACATAGTGTTTTTGTTTTGTTTTAATAGGGAGATTCTTGCTATAGGGTGTGTGTGCTTGCCAGAGAGACAGAGAGAGAGAGAGACAGAAAGAGAGAGATCATCCCCCAGGGTGGATGGCCTTGCCGTAGTTCCTTTTCCATTCTCCTCTTGGGATGTGGGGCACACCTGCACACACATCCACTATGGGTTTGAAGCCACAGAGTCTGGGGCACCAACAGCACTTGGCTACGTAGGAATCCAGCAATGTAACCATTACACCGTCTGCTGGTCCCTTAATGGATTATATTTTAAACTTTGATATACAGAATATTGTACTGTAGTATATATTGAATCATCATTTATTTTGCTTAGGAGGCGAAGGGAACTGTTCTGGGAACCTCCTCTGTGCCAAGCAGTGTGTCAGTAATTTATTTTAATGTAAATTCCTTTCATTTCCTTTAATATAGTAACATCATGGGTACACAGCAGTATTTTCCTTTTAAAGGTGAATAAGAGACACAGTGAGGTTAACTTACACAAATAATAAAACTGAGGAGTGACTTTTTTTTTAAATTTTTTTTTGCTATAACGTGCATGCACTCCCTTCTCTGTTCTCTTGGGATTTGGGGCACTTACACAACTATCTTACTACATCATTTCAAGAAGGAAACTTGTCATTTACTTTTCTTTCTTTCTCTTTTTTTTTTTTTGCTATAGGGCATGTGCACTCACCAGAAAGACAGAGACAGAAAGCAAGAAATCACCCCTCGGGGGGATGGCCATGCCACAATCCCTTCTCCTCCATTCTCCTCTTGGGATCCTGGGCACACACGCACATGTGCCCGGCATGAGTTTAAGCCACCGGCTTCAAGACTCGAACCACAGTTGACTACATGGGAGTTCAGCGACATAGCCATTATACTAACTACTGATTCCATCATTTACTTTTAAAATAATTGTATAAATGTATTCTGAAATAACCACAAATACTTTTTTTTTCTAAATTCTTTCCTAGGAAAACAAATATTACACTAATTAATACTACCTTTTCTTCAAATAATCAGAGTAATTTATTCTTTCTGTACTGGTACTTTTTTACATTACTGACTACAAAAAAGCAGGTGGTATAATTCTCATTTTGCAGGTGGTTAATATGAGATGTTGAGAAACTGAAAATAAATGATTTAGAAATGTTTCATATTAAGTATCCACTATTCTGTTATAAAACAAGCTAGATTTCAGGGAACCAGCAGTTAGCGTAATGGCTATGTCGCTGGACTCCCACGTAGTCGACCGTGGTTCGTGTCCCGGACCCGGTGGCTTAAAACTCACGCCGGGCGCGTGTGCGTGCGTGCCCAAGATCCCGAGAGGAGAATGGAGAAGGGATTGCGGCGTGACCATCCCCCCTGGGGGGTGATTTCTCGCTTTCTGTCTCTATGTCTCTCTCTGTCTGTCTGGCGAGCGCACGCGCCCTACAGTGAAAATCTCTCCCCCAAAAAAAATGAAAAAAAAAAAAAAAGCTAAATTTCATACAGAGCATTTAAATAACTCAGTCTAAATGCAAGTAGACAAGTAACTCAGCAAAAAGTAAAATATGTTAGGATTCAATTACTATGAGTAGGAATGGTAAATTTATAATTAATACAGGTTGGGACCAGCAGATGGTGTAATGGTTACGTCGCTGGACTCCCACGTAGTAGACTGTGGTTTGAATCCTGGACCTGGCGACTTAAAACTCATGTCAGGCACATGTGCATGAATGCCCAAGATCCCAAAAGAATTGAGGAGAAGGGATTGCAGCATGACCATCCTCCTGGGGGGTGATTTCTTACTTTCTATCTCTCTGTGTGTCTCTGGTGAGCACATGCGCCCTATAGCAGAAATCTTTTAGGAAAAAAAAAAATTAATACAGGCTGATCATCCCTAATATAAAGTTCAAAATCTGAAAGGTTCCAGAATCTTTGGAACACTCATGTGATGGAAGGATTGCAGTCAAAACGCTGCAATACAAAGATCTTATATAAAATTACCTTCAGGCTAGGAATAAGGTATTTGCAGTAGAGATGAAAAGAAGAGGGCTTAAGTTTAAAAAAAAAAGAAAAGAAGGAGGAGGTCAATCCATGAGATTTAATGATTTATTGAATGAGTATGGGACTGAGGAAGAAGGAACTGTCAATATAGCTTAGTTACTGTGAATTAACATGATGGAAAGTTTATCCACAGGGCCTTAAAGGAAATCAATCCATCTCTCTGTGAGACCATGTCTATTTTAATTAACTTCAAAATTTACTGAGGAAGGGATTATTTTCCCCCACTATAGGGCATGTGTATCTGCTGGAGTCAGAGAGGGAGAAAGACAGACAGAAAGTGAGAGAGAAAGTGAGAAATCACTCCCTAGGTGTATGACCACAACACAATCCCTTCTCTTCTTTTGGGATTCTAAGCATGCCAGCACATGTGCCCAGCATGCTTCTCAAACTGCCAGGTCTGGGAATCAAAACACACAGCCATCTATGTGGAATCCACCACCAACGTCCATGTCATCTGCCTAAATTAATGATATTTTCATGTTTTTGTGTTTCTTTTTTTTTTTAAACCGGTAGAATCTTAAGAAGATTCAAGAAATGGAAAAGGGTGATGAATCTAGCACAGACCTGGAAGAACTGAAAAACGCTGACTGGGTAAGATAGTTGAATATGCTTTCTGATCTGTTTATGACTAAATAAAATTAAATGCTGATTATTAAAGACTGTTATATAAATGTATATTAATATTGTATGAATTTGAATGCTTTGTCTTACATTTGAGGAAATACTTACTTCTCAAATGAAAAGCTTTCTAATTTTATTACAACCACTCCTGGCAATTTTGGTGTTTTGAAATATTAACATTTCTAATTATATTAATGCTTTAACATACTCTTGTGTGCAAACCAAATTTAAGCTCTTTTTTTTTTTTTTTTTTTTTAGGATTAGATGTGAAATTTTTTTTTTTTTTTTTTTTTCAGGCTTGGATGTGAAACTAATAGTGTAGTAGTGTTTTCATTTATCCAGTGGACAGTTACTGGATTAGCGCTCTGGTGATGCAGAATGAAAAAAAATAATACAGTCTTTATGAAATTCAGTCTAGAACAGAAGACTGATTTATAACGCAAATGATTGTGGCATATACACTAACACCCTTTAAGTATCTGCTGTTTCTCAGGCATGGTCCTAGTGACACCCAGAGTCCCTGCCCTCATATAAAACTTAGAGTTGGTAGGCATGACAGCCTTGGGACAGGACAGTGAATGTCATGCAGTGTTAGACTGGGTATGCATTCAGGTATTAGGAGGAAGAAATATTTTAGGATTCTCATTTTTTGGGTTGAGGATACTGGATAGATAATGACATTAAATGAGGGAATACAGGAATAAATGCAGATTTGGGGGACATGAATGGGTCACTTTGAACTATGTTAGGTTTAAACTGTTTGGAACATTCTTTTTAACAATTTTATGGAAGTATAATAGACAGAGTAAGCTGCACATGTTTAAAATATAACTTGGTAAGTTTTGACATATATGTGTATATATACACACATATACATATATACATACCCACGAGACAAAATAATGAACCTGTTCATCACACCCAAAATTTCTTCATATTCTGCTCTCACCCTCCTTCTCTCCTCCTCAGTTTCTGGGAAGCCAGTCTGCCCTGAGTCACTAGAGCATAGTTTGCATTTTCTAGAATTTCATGTAAATGTAATTATATAATATGTACTATTTCTTATTTGGGATCTTTCACTTAGCATAATTGTTTTGAGATTTCATCCATGTTGTTGCTTGTGGTATTTCTTTTTATTTCTGGATTGTATTCCATTGTATGGCCTGTGCTGTTTCTTTTTATTACTGGATTGTATTCCATTGTATGGATATACACAATTTGTTTATCCATTCATCAGTGGATGGTCATTTTAGTTGTTTTCTGCTGGCATATTCTTAATTCATTGATAGACATATTTATTGAGCTATTTGGAATGATTAATCTGAAACATTTAAAAGGAAGATTAAAAAACAAATTGCCTCTTGTCTTAAAAACTGACGTCATTTTAGAAGAATATCGATTTTGATTTTTCTTTGTATAGAAGAATACTCTGGCAGTACTGCTTGTAGGTATATTTTTTTGAGAGATTTTTTTGCCGTAGGGCATGTGCGCTCACTGGAGAGACAAAAAGCAAGGAATTACGCCCAGAAGTGATGGCTATCAAGCAGTCGGTTTTCCTCCATTCTCCTCTCGGGTTTTTGGGTGCACGTGCACACACACACGCACACACACACACACACACACACACACACACACCCCTTATGTGAATTTCAAGTCCATGGGTCCAGGACTCAAATTGTGATTGGCCATGTGGGAGTCCAGCAATGTAACCATTATGCCATCTGTTGGTCCCACTGTAGGAATAGTTCATCATGGCAAGTGAATTGTTTTACTGTTTTGTCCTAGCCATTAAAGCCAGATAATTCCAGACATTTAGAAATTAGCAAACAACTAGTATAAAGTTGAATTAAGAATTTAGTTTCTTGAAACTAGCAGGTGGCATAATGGTTACATCTTTGGACTCCCACATGGTTGACCGCTGTTTGCGTCCTGGACCTGGTGGCTTGAAACTCACACCAGGCAGAGACCAGCAGGTGGCGTGGTGGTTAAGACAGTGGACATTCCCACATGACCGACCAGGGTTTGAGTCCTGAATCTTTTGACTTACTTTCTCACTTCCTCTCTCTCTCACTCTCACCCTCTGTCTCTCTCTGGTCAAGCTAAAAAATAAATGAATAAATAAAATAAATATTTTTTTTAAAAGAAACTCACACCAGGTGTATGTGCATGCATACTCAAAATCCTGAGAGGAGAATGGGGGAGGAGGGATTGCACCATGGCCATCCCCCTCAGGGAGGTGATTTCTCACTTTCAGTCTCTCTGTCTGTCTCTCCACTGAACGCACACACCCAATAACAAAAATCTTTCTCTTAAAACAAAATTAATTTCTTACCATAAGACATCTCATTTAGAAACTAGTATGATCACTGACCAGAGATACACTAAGTCCAGAGGAAGGTGCATTGCCTTGCCTGCCAGCTGTTTTCCTCATAAGACCATGAAAGTGTGTTACCTAGAAAGATTACAGTGAAAGGACAGAATGAGGAAGAATTAGAATCTCTTTAATAGCAGAACCAGACCTCTCAGAATCTCCCTAGTGGAATAAGGGGTAAATGATAAAATCTCCAGAAATACATATGATGATAGCTATACCTTATTTAATTTCTGAAAAGTCAAATGTAAGATTTTTCCCATACAACAATATGTAGAGAACAGGATATATTAAAGTTTATTTGAATCCTTTTATGAATTACAGAGGGACAGCAGGTGGCCATGGTAGTTAAAGTGCTACATCCCCACATGACTGACTGCTGTCTGAGTCCTGGACCTGGTGGCTTGAAAATTATGCCAGGTGCAGGCGTGTGCTTACTCCAGATCCCAAGAGTTGATTGATACAATGTTTAACTGAACTATTATAGCTTGTTAAAGTAACCAAGTTACTTGAATAGGTATTTTTAAATATTTGTTATAAATTCAAATAATATAGGTCAAAATCTTCTACATAAAATAATTCTGATTAAATTTATCAAAAAAAGTTTTCAATAAAAATTTGTGATTTTTTTTTTAAAACTGTATACCACTTCTCATTTTCTTTTTCTGAAAAGGATCCAAAGTCCTTAATATAATCTGAAGTACTTAATATAATGGATACATATTGTGTACCCATTAGAACCCCTTCTAAAAGAATTCGTTTTTTTAAAAAAAGATTCTTAGCTTCTGCCACTAAAGGTGTTCTAATACAATATCTCTAAAATATCTGTATTTCTCTCTTGGGAATGCTCATGCCCCATCTTCCTCACTTCTCTTACTTCCTTCCTTAAGATCCCACTCCAATATCATTTCAATTTTTAAAACACTGTTCTCGGGGCCAGCAGGTGACATGGTGGTAGAGGCTATGGACTTCCACATGGCCGACCACTGTTCAAGTCCTGGACCTGGGGGCTTGCTTTCTCGCTCTCTCTCTCTCTCTTTCTCTGTCACTCTGGTTAGATTAAAATGAATAATAATAAATAAATAAAATTTTAAAAAATACTATTCTGATGATGACCCCCAGGATTTTTTTTTTTTAAGAGAGATTTTTGCTATGGGACTCGTACACCCACTGGAGAGACAGAAAGCAAGAAATTAACCCCCCCATGAGGATGGCCATGCCTCAGTCCCTTCTCCTCCATTTTCCTCATTGGATCTTAGGCATGTATGCACATACACTCAGTGTGAGTTTTAAGCTGCCAGGTCCAGGATTCAAACCACAGCCAACCATGTCAGAGTCCAGCGATATAACCATTATGCTATCTGCTAGTCCCAATCCCAGGTTTTAAAGAACCTTTATTAATGAAATTTTTAATTCACAAAAACACATAAATTGGAATATTATTCATATTACAGTGTTCATTCAGTCATTCATTTTTAGGTTTTTACCATAGGGCATGTACACTTGCTGGAGACACAGAGGGAGGGAAAGTGAGAAATGATCCCCCAGGGGAGATGGCCATGCCACAATCCCTTCTCCTCCATTCTCCTCTCAGAATTTTGGGCACCCACATACACATGTCAGCAAGAAAACTGTGCAGGCCAACCCCATAGTTCAGTGGTTAATAAGCACAATGCATTGGAACTCATATCTTGGCTTCAGAACCACACCAAGCACAGGTTCATGCATGCCTAAAGTCTCAGCAGGGTGGGGAAATGGAGGAGAAGGGATTGCGATGTGACCACCCTCCAATGGAAGGTATACACATGCACTCTCCTGCACTCGCACACACATAAGTGCACACCCTCTGGTAATGAAAACAAACAAAAAAAGAAAAATAAAACTGTGATTAATGTGTATAAAGATAAAACAATGTAAAAATTGTCATTTTCAAGCATTTTCTATGTACAGAAAACTAAGATAATCAACTCTGATCTTCTCAGCAAGTTCTTTTGTTAATGAGGAGACTGAGGCTCAGAAAAGTGAATCATTTTGCTAGATGTGGGATAGCTAATAGGTGATCTGTAGTCAGCTCTGGCCGCTACAGAATCACAGCAGCATAGAGCAAAAGCACCTGTCTGCACATCATTCCTGGTAGCTCCACTCTGCAAGTGTTTCATCCTTATCCTGGGAACACAGGTCAATCCAGGCTTGATGTTGTCATGGCGCTAATAGAAACAAGCCCCTTGTATTAATGCATGGCTTTTTGAAGCCTATGGTCTCACCAAACCCACCACTATTCCAGTGGCCGAACAAATCATAGAGCCCAACCCAAAATCAGGGTGTGGGAAATATAGTCTTCCTCAGTGAGCAGAGTTGCACAGTAGAGTGTGAACACCAAGAGGCATGAAGATGTGGGCCCTCATTCAACCTATTCGTGTGGTAGAGCCAGGATTTAAACCGAGGATCCTGTGCAGTTAGAGCCTGTAGATTCTCAGCTGGCTTACTACTCATCTTTTAGTCTCCTAAAATCTAATTTTTTAAATAGATTTTGTGTGGCTCACTCGGTGTTTTATAATATAAGATCTTTATTTCGCCAGTGTGACTGTTGCTATTTAGACAAAACTACAGGTTTTGTCTAACCCAAAAATCATAAACCCAAAATACCCCCAAAATTTAAAACTTTGAGCATCAACTTGTTACGGCAAGTGGACAGTTTCATACCAACTTCATATGACAGCACAGACATGCTGCATTGCAAAAATATTGTATAAAATCACCTTCAGGGTTACGTGTTACAGTGTATATGGCATAAGTAAGTTTTGGTTTAGACTTGGGTCCTATCCCCAAGATTGTCATGAAGTATATGCAAACATAGGAAATTCTGAAAAATTCTGAAATCTAAAACATTTTTGTCTCAAGTATTCTGGATCAGGGGTCCTCAACCTGTAATGCATCTATTCATCGATGTCTCTCTCTTGGTCTTTTCAGGCGCGATTCTGGGTACAGGTGATGAGGGACTTGCGGAATGGGGTAAAACTTAAGAAGGTCCAGGAACGGCAGTACAATCCTTTGCCCATTGAATATCAGCTCACTCCTTATGAGATGCTGATGGATGACATTCGGTGCAAAAGATACACGTTGCGAAAAGTCATGGTAAGTAATCAAAGGAAACTATGAATGGGCTCAAATGGTTATTCTTCAGTAATGTCATTTATTGAAAATGGTTTTCTCAATATTGTATTTTAAAATATCTTTCTCTTGAAAGTAATACTTAGCTATTGTAGAAAATTTGGAAAATGCATAAGCTCAGAAAAGGAAAAGTTAGGAATGTGTAATTCTGCAACCCAGAGACAAATTTTGTTAATAGGTTGGTGTATAATCAGTCTTTCTTGCTGTATGTTAAATTTGGAAAAAACAGGTAATAGAGAATATTTTGTTTTGTAACCTGTCACTTTTACTTCATATATTGTGAATATTTCCGCATGTCATTATGTATTCAACAGCATCATTTCTAAATGGCTACATCTTTCCTAGTTCATGACTAACCAAAGTTTATAAAACTAATCACTTTGTATCTGTTGAGTTGTTAGAAAAATCATGACTTTTTTTTTTTCTTTTTCTATGCAAAAATGCATCATGACTTTTCCAACAATTCAATCGTTAGAAACAGGCTATTTTGTGTATAAATCTTTTTGAATAGCCACAATGAACTCCTTCAGTTAAGCTCTTACAAGAGAACCATCCAATTCAGCAAATCCTCACAGCTTTTTCCTTAAAACTGATCATGTATCTGACCACATCTCACCACTCCACTAGGAATACTGTCTGTTCCATGCCGCTATCATCTCTCGCTCAGACTACTACAGGGGCCTCTACGCGGTCTTCCTGCTTCACTCTTGCCTCCTTTCCAAGCTGCTTTTCCCAAAAAACAGTCATAGTAAGCCTCTTAAGTAAAAATGTAACTTATCAGGGCCAGTGTGGTGGTTGGGACACTGGACTCCTGCATGGCTAACTGCGGTTCAAGTCCCGGACCTGGCAGCTTGCTTTCTCACTCTCCCTCTCTGTCTGGTGAGCACATTTGCCCAGTAGCAAAATCTAAATAATAATAACTTTTAAAAAACATAACATGCCATTGCCCTGCTTACAACCTCCCACTGGCTCTTCATCACACTCAGGATATGCATCACAGTGTTCTCCTAGCCCACAAAGACTCCATGGCGAGATCCAGATTGCCTCTCAAACATCATCTCTTTCCAGTTGAATTTTGGCCTGAGCCACCCATGTTTCTGCCAGTGTGTCAGAAGTGCCTGACCTGCTCCTGCAGCAGAGCCTCGGCCTTTCCTCGCCTCTCTCCCGGAAGTCTCTCTTCCCGAGTATCGGTAGCTCTTCACGTCTTAGGTCTCTGCTCAGGTGTCCCTTCGTTAGCAGTCTTCTCTCCATCTCTACTCTCGTGTCTCACCAGCTGACATTGTCATGTATTGGGTCCCTGGCAGAGTCATGACACCTTTTTGCATAAAAAAATGCATCATGACTTTCCCAATGACCTAATATTTTCAGATTGACTCTCTCTCCCTTACAAAAACAGGTCTCAGTTCTGCTCACTGTTTATCCCTGGGACTAGAACACGTGCCCAGTGTACTAGGTTGTCAGGACAGTTGTGACATATTTTCCTATTCAAAAATGCCTCATGACTTTCCCAACGACCTGATATGATCCTAGTCCCACAGTCTAGTTAGGGAGACAGTGATGATGAATGTGAGTGTGAGTATAAGGTGAAGACAGAGTGGGACCAGCAGATGGTGTAATGGTTATGTAACTGGACTCACACATAGTTAATCACAGTTCAAGCCCCAGACCCTGTGGCTTAAAACTTATGCCAGGCCTGTGTGTACATGCCTAAAATCCCAAGAGGTGAATGGAGAAGGAATTGTGGCATGGCCATGCCCTTTGGGAGGTGACTTCTCGCTTTCTTGTCTGTCTGTCTCTCCAGTGAGCACATCATGTGCCCTATAGCAAAAATATCTCTTGGGACTAGCAGTTAGCGTAATAGCTATGTCGCTGGACTCCCATGTGGTCAGCTATGGTTCGTGTCCCGGACCCGGTGGCTTGGGATTTGCGCCAGGCGCATGTGGGTGCATGCCCAGGATCCCACGAGGAGAGCAGAGGGGAGGGGATTGCGATGTGGCCATCCCCCCTGGGGGGTGATTTCTTGCTTTCTGTCTCTCTGTCTCTCTCTGTCTGCCTGGTGAGCACACGCGCCCTATAGCGAAAACCTCTCCAAAAAAAAAAAAAAAATCTCTTAAAAAAAAAAAAAAGATATAAAAGGAGCAGCCACCCCTTCTGAGCATGTTAAGGAGGGCTCTAGTGGAAAGTTATTCTGGGGCTGAAATTTGAAGATTGACTAAGGCTTGACCAATTGGGCATTGTGTGTTGCCCTCCAGGAACGTCAGGCATTCAAAACATCCTGCAGTTGTAGAAGTAAAAACTGCCAGGACACGGGACAATATGCTCTCACCTGGAGGATGAGTAGAGGCAGCTGTTCTCCCTGGAGCGCACACAGGGCACTTGTCACCACACCTCTGGACACTAGAGATGCTCCGTGCGCGGCAGCGTCCCGCACATTCTACATGAAAGGTGACGTGTGCCTGCTGGTGCCACCTTCTGCACGGCCAGCCAGCCATGCTTGGGGGGAGTTCTGACTTGTCACTGCCAAGCGCTGGCAGTGCTGGCTGGAGCTAAAAGAAGTGCGTGTCTCAGAAGACAGGACAGATTCCATAGAAACACACTGAGAAATGTGTCCCAGGGACATCACTGCCTCCTGAAAGTAGATCTCCAGTTCATAGACATCACAAGGAGCGGTCAGTGGTTTCTGTCCAGCAGGTAAAGTGGTCGGAGCAGTAAGGATGTGCGTTAGTGTGGTGAGGGTCGTCAGTGGGTTCAGACGTTGCGCTCGATCCTCAGTGATTAATAGATGATCGTTACACCTAGATGCAGTTCACCGTGCTTTCGCATACATTTTCCAGAAAACACAAATTTGGCTTTTCTCAATTTCTGGACTTTTTGTAGAAAGGTATGAATAACAGCTAGCATTCCGTGAAAATCTTCAACCTGGATTGTTCTCCCTATCCGTTAATTTAGAGATAGGTGGGTGGGCAGGGAGATAGATAGATAGATAACCGTTTTACACCCCAAAAAAATCATATTATGTGTGTTTTATCGCCCTTTCCCTGTATAGAGAATGAAGGTAGATAGTCTCTTTCTTAAAATAGTGACGCAGTATTTCCTTGAACAGTGCCATGTTAGCTCCCCAACCCTCATTAATAGACACTGAGATTGTTTCCAGTTTTCATTCTGTTAACCAGTAATAAGATGAATATTCTAATAAACATCTCATCCAATTACCTCCTCTGTAGGTGAGATAAATAGATCGAAAATAATGAGCATTTTAGATTTTACTACATTTTGCCAAATTTCTCTCGAAAAGAATTGTAACCAGTTCACAATTTTACCAGCTTTGTAAGATAATTTCCATTGCCAGTACTGGATAACATTACCTTTTCCAAACATATCTACTTATAAGAAAATTCTGATTAGGTTAGCAGTTAATAATGAGTAGTTTTCATGCTTATCCAGGAGGAATTATTTTTTTTAATTATATCAATGACTAAAATAAGCCCTAATAGATTGCTATAGTTTCTATCTGCTATATCATTGTCTTTTACCTGTTACTTTTTTGGTTTTTTAGTTTTTTGCTATAGGGTATGTATGCTCACAGGAGAGAGCGAGAAAGAGTGACACAGAGGGAAAGTGAGGAACCCCTGGGGGGATGGCCACGCCACAGTCTCTTCTCCTCCATTCTCCTCTTGAGATTTTTGAGCACACACGCATATGTGCCCTATGTGATTTTCAAGCTGCCTGTTCTGATACTCGAAATGCCATCAGCCATGTGGGAGTCTAGCACCTTAACCATTGCATCACCTCCTGGCTTCTTACCTGTCACCTTTGGTATTGCTAAATCTTTAAATTTTTATTAGATAAAATAATTATGCTAAATAGTGGCCAATCTGATACTAAGAATTACCTAGAATCTATTCCTCTTGTAGGTGCTGAGTTAGCTGGCCCCTGCTGGGGTCTGGGACTCTGCGTGTTGCGTAGGTATCGTAGGCAAGGCTTAGGGAAGCAATGACGTGTACTGCACAGAGCGGCAGAGTCCTGTGTATCCACACTGGAAAGATTTGGAAGCACAAGTACTATTTTTCTCCTGTGGTAAATAAAAGACTTTTAAAATTAGAGTCTGAATGTTTTCTTCTAATTTTTTTAAAAATTACAGTTAAATTCATATCATATGAAATTACCCACTTTAAAGTGGGCAGTTTAGTGCCGTTGGTATGTTCCCAAGGTTGTACAACCTCCACCTCTGAAATAATTTCATTATCCCAAAAGGAAACCTCGTACCCATGAAGTATTACTCGCATTCCTCTGTCCCCCAAGACTGTAACAACCAGTAACCAGTGTTCTGTCTGTGTGGATTAACCTGTTCTGGATATTTCATATAAATGGAATCATATCATTTATTCTGGCTTCTTTCACTTGGCATAATGTTTCGAAGGCTCATCCACATTGTAGTGTGCAGGAGTACTGCATACCTTTTTTCTGACTGAATAATCCTTCATTGCATGAATGCACATACCACGTTTTGTCTATCTGATCATCACTAGGTGGACATTTATGTTCTTTCTACACTTTCCCTGTTGTGAATAATGCTGCCGTCGACAGTCATGTACAAGTTTTTGTTTGAATACCTGTTTTCAGTTCTTCCGATTATAAACCTGGGAGTAGAATGTCCGTGTGGTATTTCTGTGTTTGACTTAACAGTAAGCACCAAACTGTTTTTACAGCATTACGCCATTTAATATTCCCACTGCCAGTGTATAAGGGTTCTAATTTCTCCACATCCTGGTCAACACTTGTTACAGTTATCTGAGTTGGTGTGATAAAGTATCTCATTACAGTTTTCATTTGTATTTCCTTGGTGACTGATGATATTCATGTGCCTGTGGGCCATTTGCATATCTTCTTTGGAGAAATATCTACTCAGATCCTATGTTTATTTTTAATTAGGTTATTTGTATTTTCATTGTTTCATTTTTGAGGTTTTACTTTCAAGTTTATTTATTTCTTCCCTGAAAGAGACAGACAGGCACTCCCCCAAAACAGGGTCTTTTTGTTGCAATCCACCCACAGTCGCAGCCAGCCTGGATCACATCATGCACCTGTGGTCCTGAGGGAGGTCCCAGAACGTGTCCTAAGTGAGTCCAGTGTTACTACCACTGCAAAACTGCCTGGCCCCATCTAAGAGTACTTTACATATTCTGGATACTGATACAAATGTCAACAAGATTTCTTTTGTCTGTTTAACTTTAGAACCAGCTACCTAAAACATGCCATTTCGGAAACCAGATTGAGTTCAGGGTAGATGTTTTAAAGTTTTCAAAGGGGATCATTTTGTATAGTATAGGTTTTATATTTAAGATGCTGTGGCTTGGACCGTCCACATAATACAGTGCTTGAGCCCTGTGCCTAGGGAGCTGGAGCCCACACAGCCAATTGCAGTTCAACTCCCAGTCCTGGCAGTTTGAAAACACGCCAGGTGTACGCATGTGCATGCCCAGTGTCCTTCCTGATGGAATGGCGAAATAGAGATAAAAGAATTGTGTGACCAGGCGCCATTGGGAGGTACTTTCTCTTTCTCTCTGATGGGTGCACATATGCACATGCCTTCTGGCAATAAAAATGAGTAAAGAAACACACACATGTGGCATTGTGGCTCAGAAATAGGTTTTTATAATTGATTTTATTTACTTATATGTCTCCTATTTGTGTTCATCCAGGAATCACTTCTCATTTCAGTTCAGAGAGCTTTTTCAGGAAATGTGTATTTAGATGAAAATAATTTGACTGACCCAGCACAATGGTTTCCACACAGTCCCTATTCCTTATACTGACTTAGGCCCATACTGACCTGCTATTTCCCTGGCGAGCACTGACCCACATTTAGAATGGGGACCAGGATACAGCTTCTTAGGACTGAGGAAACTAAAATTAATATACTTGTTTTGGGAATAGAATTTATAACCTTGACCTCATTTAATCCATTCTCTTAACCCTACTGTTGTGATAGAAAAGCCCTTGAAATAAAAGCTTAATGGAAATCAGCTAGAAAGCTATAAAGAACTCTGTTCAGGAGCAGAATAGTTAGCAATAGAAAAATCTGATTAAATTGTTTTAGGCAGTTGGTATTTTTAAAATCATCTCATATCACATGACATCCATAGGTATGAGATGATGCCCCATGAGGCTGAGTTCTGCTTCCTGGTTGCATTCCCTTCTTAAACCAAGCCCTGGCAATGCTGTGCTGGGCTTTACCTAGTCGGTACGCCCACAGCTCATCATAGGACCATCTGCCCTTAGGCAGGGCTGGAAGTGGAGCTTGCGGAAGAAGAGGGAAGTGGATGTCAGATAGGCCCCCTGCAGGCTTGTCATACTGAACTCCAGTGGAGTGACCACATCTGGGGAACCGAGCCTAGGAGGGGACAGTTCGGGCTCTATTTTGCTCAAACAAGACTGGAGAACAAATATAACAAAATGGTGCGCATCGTGCCCTCTGCGTGGTCGGAATGAGCGTTTTGGTGTCCTGGGGTGGTTTTATATTTCTATTTGAATGAGTCTGTGGTGGTGCCAGTTTACACTAAATTGCTTTTGTGACATGCCTTCTGGCAATAAAAGGCATTTGAAATAACAGCAGAAACGTGCAATGATGATCCTATAATCACTTCAGTCTGCTTTTTGTCTCCTTTTAGGTGAATGGTGATATTCCCCCTCGGTTAAAAAAAAGTGCTCATGAAATCATCCTTGACTTCATTCGATCAAGACCACCTTTAAATCCAGTATGTAATTTGACATGTTCTTGGTTGGCATTGGCGTAACATATTCTCCTTCTCTAGGGCATATCTTTACAACTTCAACTTTTCTGAGTGATTGGTTTTTCCACTGAACTTTCATTCTAAAAATGATGAAGCTTAACTGTAAATTATATTCTTTAGGCAGAGGGAAAGATTTAGAATTATTCAACACAGCACCATCTTGGGATATTTTTACTCAAAACAACCTGCACATGGTACAAAATCTGGCCAAACACCTCTGCTCATAATGGCTCAGTATAATCCCAGAAAGTTCCCATGGGGATTGACCTTTCTAGTGCTGCCCCTTCTTGATGAATGTCACCTTGACGCTATTTCACATTGTACCCATCTGGCTGTACCTCCTCTGTTAGCAGGGTTCTTCCTAGTGATCTGAGAGTCAGAATATTCTAATCTGGTTCGAAGGGGCTTTGTGTTTCCTCTCTTCTTTTCTCCCTCCTAGTCAGAGCTCACCATAGCCTGCATACTTCAAGTAACTAGAAAGGGAATGTTATTTCCCAGTTTGTGTTCCTCTAAAGAGTATTTAATGATCCCATTGACAACCTTTCTTTTTTTCCCTGCACTATTTATTTATTTTGTTTTTGTCACAGGGCATGTGCGCTTGCCAGGGAGAGGCAGTGAGAGGGAAAGTAAGAGGTCATTCCCCAAGGGGGATGGCCACACTGTAATCCCTTCTCTTCTGTTCTCCTGGCATTTTGGACACACACACGTCCAGAGTGACTTTCAAGCCTCCAAGTCCTGAATTTGAACCAGGTCAGCCATATGGAAGTCTAACACCTTAACCACTATGCAACCTGCTGGCTCTCCAAAAAAAAATTATTTTTATTAATTTATTTTACATTCATTCACTGAGTATCATTACAGTGTACAAAATGTGATTTCCCATCCAGAATACACTGCATAGTAGAAAAGACTTTTTAAGACAGGAAAGAGATCACCGAAGAAATGGTTTGAGGAAGGCAGGTCATGGTTGAGCAAAAAAACATGAAATGAAGTGAACCTGAATTTGCACACTAGTTAAACAACAGCCACATGTGTCTGAGGAAGTTAATCAGGCTCCCTAAGCCTTTTATTTCAGCAAGTACGGAATGAATATAGTAATAATCATTGACGAAGGTTGTGGTGAGTTATTTAAAAACGTTAGCTTTAAAAATAGTACTACAGGGCCAGCAGGAGGCGTAGTGGTTAAGGTGCCAGACTCCGCCATGGTTGACCATGGTGCAGGTCTTGGACTTGATGGCTCTCTCTCTCTCTCTCTCTCTTTTTCTCTGTTGCTCTGTGATCAAACTGAACAAATCATAATGAATAAAATTAAATAAAATAATTCTTAAAAAAATAGCACTACTAATGGGACTAGCAGGTGGGGTAGTGGTTAAAGTGCAGAACTCCTACACAGATGACTGCAGTTTGAATCACAGACCTGGCAGCTTGAAAATAATGCTAGGATCCAGACCAGCAGATGGCATAATGGTTACATCACTGGGCTCCCACATAGTTGACCACGGTTCAAGTCCTGGACCCAGCAACTTAAAACTCATGCTAGGCATGTGTGCATGCATGCCCAAAATTCTGAGAGGAGAATGGAGGAGAAGGGACTGTGGTGTGGCCATCCCCTCTGGGGGGTGATTTCTCACTTTCTGTCTTTCTCTCTGTCTCTCTGACGAGTACCATGCTGTATAGCAAAAATCTCCCTGGATAAAAAAGAAAGAAAGAAAATAACACCAGGCATGTGTGCATGCATGCCCAAAATCCTAGGAGGAGAAGATTGGCATGGCCATCTCTCCTGGGGAGTGATTTCTCGCTTTCCCTCTCTCTCTCTCCAGCAAGCAAATGTACCCTATGGCACAAACCTTTAAAAAAAAAAAATAAGTACTAATAATAAATAAGGATAGCTTACATTGCAATTGGTGGTCTGTCATACTAGTATATAGGAAATACAACTTCAGCAAACCACTTAAAATTGGTTGAGTACATATGACGAAATCACTATAAAATCCAATATACTCTATTGCTTTAGAAATCTTGATACTTAGCCATGAAAACGATCTTTTATCAGGCATTGTTACAATCAATAAAATATAATTCACATTATTGTACTGTGTGAATGACTTCAGTAAAAACTGTAAGGCACTTGACTCCTACATGACCAACCATGGTTCTAGTCCCGGATCTGGCAACTTGCTCTCTCACTGCCTCCTCCTCTCTTCATGTCTTTCCTGTCTAACTGAAAGATAATAATAAACAAAATTAAATAAATAATTCTTTTTTTTTTTTTTTGAGAGATTTTCACTGTAGGGCGCGTGCGCTCGCCAGACAGACAGAGAGAGACATAGAGACAGAAAGCGAGAAATCACCCCCCAGGGGGGATGGTCACGCCGCAATCCCTTCTCCTCCATTCTCCTCTCGGGATCTTGGGCACGCACGCACACGCGCCCGGCGTGAGTTTTAAGCCACTGGGTCCGGGACACAAACCGCGGTCGACTACGTGGGAGTCCAGCGACATAGCCATTATGCTAACTGCTGGTTCCCAAATAATTCTTTTTTTGAAAACAGAAACTTTATTAAACAAAAACAAAGCACCTATAAGGATAAAATCTAGCCAGTATGCTTTTTTTCAAGGTCTCAGCGAGAAAACTGAAACCAACCCCACCACGGCCGCGGAGTCTCCATGAAAGAATATTAGAAGAAATTAAAGCTGAAAGGAAGCTGCGGCCTGTCTCACCAGAGGAGATTAGACGAAGCAGATTCGGTGAGTCACGGCTTCTTGTGCTTGCGGTCACGTCACCCACGGGGAAAGGGTTTTTATACAGCCAGCTCCATGAAAGTGACAGTGCAAAGTCAGGAGGATCCGTGGAGCTGTCGGTTCTTGTTCTCTGTCTCTCTCTCTCTCTCGTTCTCAGTCTTGCTCACTTCCTCACATACACAACCCCCCGCACACACTTACTCAAAGTTCACACTTGAAATCCATAGGACAGGGAATTCTCTCCCTGATTCTGAGCTTGACCAGGACATCATGGCGTCATGGAGAAAGCACTGCTGGTAGCTACACTGAGATTTCCAGGAGAGTCTCTTTACCTCTCTGAGCATCATCTTCTCCATCAGCGGAGAGGGATAAAAATTCCTTTGACCTATATTACGACTTTTATGTAAGATCAAATAGGGCTGTGATAAAAATACCTTTTAAGTACAGGTACGAAGATCCGGTATTACATTTTAGAAATATAGATAATAATTCGTTTTACTTCATGTTTCTATCATTTTAATGTTGAATTTGAAGATAGGGTAATATGTGGTGAAAGCATCAGTTATTCTGGTATTCCCAAACTTATTCCCAAACTTCCTTCGTAGTAATTATTTTTAATTTTTTTTTTTTAAAGTTTGTTTATTCCATGAGAGAGATAGATAGACAGGCCCCTCTGAACGGGGTCCTCACACAGTGGTCCTCTCCTGGTCTCAGCCAGCCTGAATTCCAGGCACACGTGTGCACTCGCTGGGCCTGTACAGAGAGGCCCTGAGGCCTAAATCTGGGACCTTCCCATGTGAGTCCAGTTGTGACACTTCTGTGCCATCCCCTGGCCCTAATTTTACTGTTACTTAAGTGTGTACTGTGATCTCACATTGATTTTCATTTATAGCAAGATTGTCTTATAAGACTTCTATAAACATTTTTTATTATATGGTTCTCCTCCAATTTGTAAGATTAAAGATGCCCAAAGAATTTAAAGAAGCTTCCTTTAGGAAAATAGATTAGAGTGCTATGTGAGCAGGAAAGGGGCTGGTTCTATGACACCACACTCTGCTAGTTTTCTCCTCTGATCTCTTTTTCTGCCCCTTTCAGATTCTTCTTGGTCCCTCAGGTTTCTACCCTGTGCTCTCGTCTCCCTGAATAACCTCATCTCCCATGGATTTTGTTTCTGACCACCTTCTAGCTCCCAGTCTACAGTGCAGATCTCTCTCAAATTCAGACCCATACATACAGCTGTCTTCTAGACAAGGCTTCCTCATATTCTACAAGCAAGACAAACCAGCATGTCCACAAGTGAACTTACCAACTCTCCCCAACCCATGTCATCCTGTTTCCCCAAGGCACAAACCTTAGTATAGTGTTTGACTTCTACCTGACAACCAAGCCTTGTTGATTTTTCTTCCTCCAGTCTTTCTAATCTTTCACTTTTTGAATCCAACAACCACTATCCTAACCCAGGCTGTCATCTCGTCTGTTGAATCAGTGCTCTGACGACTCCCTGAGTCCAGTCTTGAACTCTTCAACCATTCCCTTTTGATGTTCCTCACTTCATCTAGCCGTTTGGTTACAGTATGACCTCTGTGATGGCAAGACCTCTGTCTGCCTTACTTCTTGTTAGGCCCGTAGTACAGGACCAGGCCATACAAAGTACTCCTATAGGTGTTAAAATAATTAAGTATATCTTTGGTTACAGAGTTACAGAATGATAAAGGTTGTATCAATATATCCATTTCTAATTTTTATGGCAGCAAATTTTATCTTTAAAAATAAGGTTTAGGGGCCGGGAGTTGGCATGGTAGAAGTTAAATAATTCTTTTTTTAGAATTATTTTATTTAACTTTATTTATTTATGTCTTTTAATTTAATGAAAGAGAGAGTAGGGGGAAATGAGATCCAGGTCTGGGACTCAAACTGTAGTCTGTCCTGTGGGAGTCCAACACCATTAACTACCTTGCCACCTGTTGGCCTGAAGTTAAATCTTAATTTTTAAAAGAATTATTTAATTTTATTTATTCATTCATTTATTTTAATTTGACCAGAGAGAGACACAGAGAGAAAGAGAGAAAAGGGAAGCAAGAAAGCAAGCCACCAGATCTAGGACTCAAACCGTGGTTGGCCATGTGGGAGTCTCTAGCACCTTAACCACCACACCACCTGCTGGTCCCCAAGTTAAATAATTCTTTTTTTTTTTTTTTAAATGAGATTTAAAGCATGCTAGCTAACAAATTTATATGAACATTTGTGCATGAGCCAAGACACATAAAGCATGCAAACCAAGGGTTCTTTTCCTGGGAGTCCTTGAATGATCCTGAGGAGGGTTTGTGAGTCATCTGAAATAGAAAGCATTGCGTATTTCACAAAGTGCATATTTGTGTGTTTTTCTGAAGAGAAAGTCCATAGCTTCTCTCATATTTCTAAAAAGTCGAACCTCAGAAGAGTAAGAACCACCTTTAAAACAAGGAAATGGTACTATAGAATGGTAGTTTAAGGCTATGTTTTAAAAAGCAAAATGACAACTTGAAAAAGAGTGATGCAAGTAATAGAAAAGAGTTCAACAAAACTATAAGGTGAAAAACAAGTACATTACCATGAAAAAGTAAGCTTTACAGAAGTCAAGAGTAACTAGGTTTAGGGATTACAAATTTCCGTGGAATATAGAAAGGAAACCAGCCAGGCATAATGTACTTAGGTGGTTGGAATTGATCATCGACATTTATATAGATCCTTAATTTTTCTGTGTTGAACCTTTTAGATCATTAGTCACTGTGCCAGCAACTGGGGATTCAGAGAGGAGTACAGCATAGTCCTTACTCAGAGTACTTCCAGAATACTAGTGACTCTGAAGTGCTGTGCTATTCCCGTTGCAAGAGACATAAATGAACATTAACAACAGCCTGTCAGGATATCTGTAAGTCAGGCCATTCAGGGGAGTTTTAAGAAAAATGAGCAATCCTTTTAACCAGTCCAGGGGACACGCCCCATTGCATCAAAGTGTCACAGCAGACTTTTTTTACTTGTGGTAAGAACACTTGGGCGAGATCCACCCTCTTAACAAATGTTTAATCGTGCAGTACAGTATGAGCTGACTGTAGGTGCAGTGTTATACACATCGCTAGAACTTCCTCATCTCTGACTTAGTAACTCCCCACCCCTCTCCCCTCAGCCCCTGGCAACCACCGTTCCACTCTTTAGTTCCATGAACTTGACTATTTAGAAACCTTATATAAGTGGAATCATCAGTGTGTCTTTCTGTAACTGGTTTTATTTAAATTAGCATGATGTCCTGAAGGCTTATCCATGTTGTTACATATTGCAGAATTTCCTTCTTACATAAGGATGAATAACAGTATTTCATTTTATATACCATGTTTTCTTTATTTTATTGCCAGCGGCCACCAGAGAGAGAGAAAGTACCCCACAGTGGGGCTTGGTTGCGTCGTAGTCCATTCTCCTTTTCTCCATCCTGTCAGGATTTGGGGCACAAACTCACAAGCACTGGGTGTGGTGTGTTAAGAGTCTTTTTTTTTATGATGAAAGTTCATTTTTTTTTTCAAATACTTTTTACTCAATCTTTTCAGATGGTCATGTGATGTTCTTTCCTTTATCCTGGTAATGTGATGCATCAGTGATAGATTTTTGTATGTTGTATTTAGAAGTATTCTTCCCTCTTTATTTCACATTAATTCTTCTTCCATGTTCAATAGAGTTCACTAGTAAAGCCATCTGGTCCCAGGCTTCACTCTGTTGGAGGTTTTTTCCTTTTTTTTTTTTTTTTAAAGTATATATATATATATTTTTAGTTATGATAGAGCATGAGTTCATATATGTGAAAGTGAGTAAGAAAGAAATGGAAGGGAACCAACAGCATAATGGCTATGTCGCTGGACTCCCACGTAGTCGACCACGGTTCGTGTCCCGGACCCGGCAGCTTAAAACTCACACCGGGCGCATGTGCGTGCGTGCCCAAGATCCCAAGAGGAGAATGGAGGAGAAGGGATTGCAGTATGACCATCCCCCCTGGGGGGTGATTTCTCGCTTTCTGTCTTTCTGTCTCTCTCTGTCTGTCTGGCGAGTGCACGCGCCCTATAGCAAAAAACCTCTCCAAAAAAAAGGAAAGAAAGAAATAGAAGAGATGAGTACCCACACAGTCTGGTCATGCCATGATCGCTTTCCTCCAGTTGTCCATCTCACTGGATCATGTGCATGGATCTCGTACATGTGCCTACTGTGTTTCAGGCCAGCCAGGCCAGGGATTTGAACTATGGTCACCGTGTGGGAGCCACTTTTCTTTTTTTAATTTAATTTAATTTTTAAATTGTATTTGTTTTATTTATTTATTTTACTTTGACCAGAGAGGGACAGAGTGAGAAGGAGAGGGAAAGTGAGAAAGTGAGCTGCCAGGTCCAGGACTCGAACCATGTTTGGCCACGTGGGAGTCCAGCGCCCTTAACCACCATGCCACCTGTCAGCCATGCAAGCCACTTTTCTTGAGCAGTGCTTTACCACTGCACCACAGAGGCGGTCTGGAAGCATTTTGATTACTGATTCAATCTCTTGTAGCAGCTCTTTTTCGCATATATTGTTTTCAGTTTCACTCTTTGAAAATTATATTTAGATGCTAACAGAAACCCTATTTTAAAATAATGTCAATTTTATATAGAGTATTTCTTATTTTAACCTTGAAAGTTGGTATTTCACAGTACCCAGAATTGAGTTGTTATAGAAAGTGGTTGTTCTGAGAGGGTCTTACTGTAGGGTTCTGAGTTCAAACTGATCTTAGACACTAATTGGAAAGTAAAGTATTTGGGCACATTTTTTTCTGCAGATCTACATTGGCTCCTACTGTACAATTTTGTTTGGGAGAGGTTAGTCAGGATAACATTGGCAAAATTAACTTGAAGATAAGTTTCCTTGAACATTTTTTTCTTCTAATTATTTATTTTACTTTATTTATTCATTCATTTATTTTCATTTGACCAAAGAAAGACAGATACACAGAGAGAAGGAAAGTGAGAAAGCAAACCACCAGATCCAGAACTCGAACCATGGTTGGCCATGTGGGAGTGTCCAGCACCTAAACCACTACACCACCTGCTGGCCTACCTTGAACATTTTTAAACCTTTTCTCTATCTCATTGTAAGTGAAAACCCATTATAAAAATGGAGAGAATGTTTAAATGTATAAAGTATTATGCATAGTTTCAGTAGCTGGAGGCATCCATTGTGAGTTTTCTTGTACATTATGAAATTACAATAAAAGTCTGTATATATGCAGTTTTCTGCTCTCTCCTTTTAGCTGTGAATGTGGCATGAACATCTTCCTAAATCCTGACTCAGAGCATGATTGACAAGGACATGATCCCCTAACATGGCTAAATTATATCATACTTACCTAGTTCTCTACTGTCTCACAGTCTGCTTTTTTCCTAGTCCTGAAATTCCTATTCTTGTGCATCAGTCTTTGTTCCTGTCTCTTACCATTTTCTTTTCCCTAAACATCTTAGTTGCTATGGTCTTTGATTGCTATCCTCTTTGTGGTGTATAGAGCTTGGAAAAGATGTGCATCTTTCTTAGAAAAAATATCATCTCTTACTTATGCAAAAATTAGTCCTATTTCAAAAGGTATGTTCATCTGTCAAAGAAGAAGATACAGAGAACATTGAGTATTTGGAGAATATGTGATAATTTATTTGCAGTATGTCATTAAGCAAATCAAGAGTAGATAGGATTTGGGTTTAGAAATGTAGTTTTTGAATAGTGGGTGGCAGATTATTCTCATCAATACCAGATTCCTAACTATTTTGCCACAAGATAACTAAATCACAGCAAAATGCCTGCTTAAATGTTACACTGCCGGACTTGTGTGTGTGCATGCCCAGAATCCCAACATGGTAGAGAAATGAAAGAGAAGGGATTGTAGTGTGACCAGACCCCTACAGAGGGTACTTTCTCTCTCTCTGTCTTCTCTCTCTGTTTCTCTGTCTCTCTTTCTGGTGAGTACACACACCCTCTGGAACAGTTTTATAAATAAATAAGTAAAAGTTTCTTCTGGCCCAGGTACAGCAGGCACACTAGTTGTTGCTGCTGCTTGCCAGGCTGTAGCGACATGAGAGACCCACCCTAAAAGCCAGGTGCAGTGACACACACCTGTGGTTCCAGCTATTTTAGAGGCTGAGGCAGGAAGATCCCAATATAGTGACACCCTTTTATTTTTTTAAAGTGTACTTACTTATGTCATGAGAAGAGACCCAGAGAGAGAGAGAAATAAGTATCCTCTTCCGGGTCCTAAGCCACAGTTGTCCCCCAGCCCTTCCAGCTAGCCAGGATTATGAGCCCACATCCTGGTGTGTACAGGTTGACCAGCAAACTGAACCTACGATCTCCCATGAAGAGCCAGCTTCAGCTGAGCAGCTTGTCTCCCCTTTGCCGTTGACCTGGCCTGAGACCCTGTCTTTGGGGGAAGGTTTCTAACTAACATACACATTAGGGTGAAAATGTTTAAATACCATTTCCTGGTCATCACACAGTATGATTGTTAAATAGTAGCGGCTTTATCTTCCCCTTCTAAGACACATTTCCTTCACTGACAGAGGTGCTTTTAAAAAACATTCACATGATTCTGTTATCTTGCTACAAAGTATGGGGAATGTAATTCAGTGCTCTTCCTTGACACCATTTTTTAAAAATCAGTATATTGGGGGCTGGCAGTTGGCATTGTGGTTAAGGGTGCTGGACTCACCACATGGCTGACCGTGGTTCAAGTCCTGGACCTGGTGACTTACTTTCTCACTTCCCCTCTCTCACGTGCTCTGTCCCTCTCATATATTTATAAATATAAATATGCATTTATAAATATATATTTATGAATATATTTTTTGAGACTTTAGGTTATCAATATAATTCATTCCCTTTTAAAAATTTACAGAAATACATATTAAGAGATACTTACATTTCATTAAGTTGGGATATTAGAACTCTAGAGGCCATCGTCCTGGAAAACATCAATCAGCTGACATTCTACCCAATATGCCTGTACTTGCAAACCCACTGTGGATTGCACCCGTGTGCTCCTCTGACCACAAAGACACCAGCTGCCTGTTCTCCCTCCAAGGCATAACCCCATCTGATCTTTAGCCTTCTAGAAATCAGAAGTCAGGAGGGCAGGCTGTCTTCAGTGACGACAAAGTTTCTTTAGAAAAGGAGTTAAAAATTAAGGACTTTGTGGAAGAGGGTGTCAAGAAAGTTAGAAAAATTATTAATATCTCAAATTCTCCTGCATTGTTTTTATGAAGAGGATTCAAAAGGATGGAAGAAAGAATATGACAAAAGATATTCAGAGAAATATTGCTATGGTTTCAACAGTTTTGGAGAATCTAGGAAGTCCTCATGGATTTTGCTTTTGAAATGGAGAAAGAAGACTATACTTTGTGAGGGAAGGAAGGAGGAGTGACCAGGGGGATACCTGAAGTGCTGTTTCAGCGTTTGATGTGGCAGTTTCTAAACAGTAGTAGGGGAAATAGGAGGCCAAGCCTTGGCTACAGAAAGGTGTTCTCTTTGCTGCTTTATCATCAAAGTGCTGGTAAGAGTTTTTGTCTGCAATGAAAGCAGATACTTTTCACTGGCATGAATACCAAAATTCATCAAATCTTTGCTCTAACTGTTTTTACTCCCCCTCTCCCCTGAGGTCACGTGCACTTGATGGAGAGAGGGAGAGAGAGAAAGCATGCCCCAGTGAGGCGCGGTCACACCACAGTCCCTTTTCCTCTATTTCTGAGCATGCAGGGTACATGAATGCAATGGGTTTTCAAGCCTCAAGAGCCAGGATTTAAATCACATTGTCAGCCATGTGGAATCAGCTCCCTTAACCAGGGGCCAGCCCTGTAATAACTTTTTTTTTTAACAGCTTTGTTGAGATATAATTTATATACCATAAAATTCACCCATTTAAAGTATTTAATAACTTAGTGGGTTTTATTATTTGAAGTAAATATTTTAAAGCAAATTATGTCAACACAGAAATGATCATTTTATTCTTAATAAATGATCATTATTGAACTTTATGCTAAGAGCTATCTTAAGCCTTTCTGTCTGTTTTTAAGATTTTTGCCATAGGGTGCACGTGCTCACTGTAGAGAGAAAAACAGTGAGAGGGAAAGGGTAGAAATCACCACTGAGGGAGACAGCCATGCTGCAGTCTCCTCCCCTATTCTCCTCATGGAATTCTGGGCGCGCACGCTTGCTTGCCTGATGTGTTTCAAGCCATCAGGTCCAAAATTCAAATCGTGGTTGACCATGTGGGAGTGCAGCACTTAACCCTCAGTGCCACCTCTTGGTCCCGTTAAGCCTCTTTTTTGTATGAAGTCATTTCATCTTTATAGCAATTCCATGAGCATAGGGGCCAATGTTTATGTTATGCAGCTGGAGGAACTTAAATTCAGAGAAGTTAGGCAACTTGCCCAAGATCACACTGCTAGTAAAGAGCAGAGCTAAGCTATTCAAACTTAGCCACTCTTGCTTCTTTTGCAAGGACTAGGTTATATTGTCCACAACGGACAGTTCATTAACACCTTGTAGGGCTGCTAGTTTCTGGTTGCAATTTTTTATGAAATGTTTCACTTTTATTCAGAGAGCCAAATTTTTATCCTGGCAAAAGTCACTGAAAGATAGATTATTCTCAAATTTTAAGTTTTGGGATTGACTTTACCTGCTGGTTAAGCCAGCTGGATCCCACATGGCCAACCACACCATTCAAGTCCCAGACCTGGTGGTTTGAGAAACACACTGAGCGTGTGTATGTGTGTGTCCATCCACAATCCCAAAAGGAAGGAGAGATGGATAAGGGATTGTGGCATGACCATTCCCCATGAAAGGTATTTTCTCCCCTCCTCTCTTTCTCTCTCTGACTAGTGCACACGCCTTCTTGCAAAAAATAAAAAATAACTTCTTTATAAAGTTTTTTAAGTGTTTCTTAAAATCATGTTATAAAACATAACTTTTTTTTTTTTTGGAGAGGTTTTTGGTATAGGGTGTGTGCACTCACCAGAAAGACAGAGACAGAAAGCAAGAAATCATCCCCCAGGGGGGATGGCCATGCCGCAGCCCCTTTTCCATTCTCCTCTCGGGATCTTGGGCACGCACACACATGTGCCTAGTGTGAGTTTAAGCCACCGGGTCCAGGACTCAAACCGCAGTTGACTACATGGAAGTCCAGCGACATGCCATTACACCAACTGCTGGTCCTGTATTCTGTTTTTTTAAATAAGTGTTTGTACCTTTGGTATACTTAAACTCATGCCAGGCTTGTGTGCATGAGTGCCCAAGATCCCAAGAGGAGAATGGAGGAGAAGGGATTGCACCGTGGCCGTCCCCCCTGGGGGGTGATTTCTCACTTTCTGTCTCTCTGTCTCTGTCGTTCTGGTGAGTGCACGTGCCCTATAGCAAAAAAAAAAAAAAGTTTGTATCTTTATCATACATTCATTTCTAACATGTTCTTTAAAAAATTATTTTCCTTTTATTGTTGCCCCATTTCAAGTCTTAGTTATATAGTTGGAACTAAGACTCTTGCATGGTTTTATTGTATTTCAGATTTTTATTCATTAGCTTTGCCTTAGAGTCTGAGATGTGCCACTCAGGGTCATTGTTAAACCTTCCTCTCCTTTTTGTCCTTTGTGTATATTCCTAACAGCTGAATTATTTTCTTTTTATTGTTTGTTTTCTTTTTTTTCCAGCAATCCGGCCACTTAGCATGTCTCACAGTTTTGACTTGTCAGGTAAAAAGAAAAACAAAAGCGCTTTCACACCTGACGTGGATTTTGTGGTTTCTGTGAAATGCATATCATTCATTTGCTTATTCAGGCATATCAAAAAAGAAAATTGAAGGGCTTCTTCTGAGTTGTGGTCAATAAAATAAAACATCCTGCTTATTTAAAAACAATATTCTTTTTAAAATTAAAATCACAAGAAATCTGTTACCTCCCAAGGGCTTGTGCAAGAGCCATTATAGCATAATTAGGGTCGTGGAGTATGACTGCCCACCCTTGTCACAGCCGTCACTTCCGGGCCTTTCTGGTGGCAATGATGTAAACGTCTAAAACAGACCTTTATATTAATAGGAAAAATTTTAAAAACAAAGCCAAAGTTTTGGCCTTTCCTATTCTCCATAAAACATTTAGCATTTTAGTAGCTAAACTCAAAACAGCTACTTCAGGTGACTGTAGCACAGCAATTAATAGGCAAGAGTTGACCCGTCACTGTGCTTGGTAACACACCTAGTCGTGACAGACTTTGAATGCTAGTTAATAATATCTTTTTTTAAAGAATTATTTTATTTAACTTAATTAATTTTAATTTGTCCAGAGAGGGACAGAGTGAGAGAGAGAGGGAAAGTAAGAAAACAAGCCACCAGGTCCAGGATTCAAACCATAGTCAGCCATGTGGGAGTCCAGTGCCTTTAACCACTGTGCCACCTGCCAGCCCCAAAAATACATATTTTTAAAGAGCATGGTAATAGCTTTAGTTGTGATATATAATTATGGGTTCCAGGTTTCTAGTACAAGTTTAGACCCAGTTAAGTAGACAGGACACTCTCAACAGAATCCCCCTGCCACAGACCACCACTTTCTCCACTGACCCAGACCATGGCATACATGCTACCACACAGCATGATTAGGGAGGGCCCAGGATACACGCCCAGGACCCTTCCCATGTGGGCCCAGCTCCAGCTACATACCTCTGTGCCATACCACCCAGCCCCTAGTGACTAAATTTGCAAAATAAGTCTCTTTTATACTGAAATTTTTAATATATTTGAGAAATTTTTCAAAACCATCTTAAAATATTTTGCAAATTGGGATATTTAATTTTAGAAGTTGTTATTTTGAAAGTAAAATGAGATAGAAGTTAGAACTAATATTTTCTTCCAGAATATTCTTTTAAATGCCTTGAAACCCTTTTTAAGATATACAGTCATTGGTTTACCTAACATGCAAATTCATGTTTGAGGAGCCTGGGAATTCTAGCATTGTATTCTGTATTTGAATGTTTACTGGATATTTTCTCAACTATAAAACTAGTTCCCAGCTGTTTTTAAATGTCTGAGACATGACCCTAATATTTTAGTCTTTGCTTTACTATTTTTGACTGACCACTGAAGAGCTTTTTCTATTTTCTTTATTCATTTGGCAATTTTTATTTTATCAACCATTTGCAGAGTGGCCCTGTAAAAAAATTCTTTGGTAACATAAAGTCAAACATTTGGGAAATGTGTTACTACTAATCTCTAAATCTTCGCAATATAAATTGCAGTTTATCTCTGAATGTCTACTAAAGATGTTTCTGTCAGTCGGACTATAAGGGCTACCTAACACATTGACTGTTACTAGTGTAAATTAGGCACATGTGGCTGATGCAGACAGTGTGCATGCTCACACACACCTGTGAGCAGGTGCATTCTGTGTTTATCTAGACGGCGTGCTCAAAAGAAAGCTCTTGGTACTTAACGTCCTTGCTGTAAAAGGGTAGCAAGTATTTTTCATTTATTTTTGCTGCTTATCATTTGCTATAATTTATTTTGTGCCTTAGTGTACTTTGTGATTTCCAAGTGCTTTATTCTTGATTTCTTGTGCTGCTTTTATGTTTTTCATTGTCACATTTGACTATTAATTATAAGTGTCCCTAATTGTAAATGAAAAAGACTGACCCCATTCTTCCAACTTAAATGCAAAGATTGGAATGCACTTTCTGAATTAGAAAATGAGCAAACTAAGGAGTAAATGTTTTAAACGTGTGGTCTAAATAATGATGCTGAACTTTAAGTGTAGAGTAAGACATTATGAAGTATATTCTTCTGCCTAAGTATCTCTGAGAAATATTAATTGTGAAAATTGTAACCCCTTCAACATCAATTAAGGTAAGTATACTTTATTTATCTCTAATTGTATTTTTTTATTAAATAGATCATATGTATTTTGGTCACATTTTCTCCAACTAGGTAAGGCAGCAGACACACATTAAGTTATTATACAAAGTATTTCATGTCACGAGTGTGCATTTTAGATTCCGAACCAATGATATGTGATTTCTAAAGCCATACCTAAATATTTCACATCTTAAATATTTTATCTACATGTAATTATCACCAGTTTTATTTCAAGAAATACCATCTTACAGAAGAAATACAAAATCTAATCCAAGTGAGTAGTTTTTCTCATTGGATACATTGAAGTAATAATGAGGATTTATCTATTTAGACAGAAAAATGTAAGTATTCAAGCTCTTTTACAAAATGTTCAATCTAGTCTTTTATAGATATGTGTTAGGTTATTGGGAAAGTCATGACACATTTTTTGCATAGAAAAATATGTCATGACTTTTCCAATGATCTAATAGTAGAAGATAAAATCACACATAGTGGTTAGTCTCATATGTGGAGATTATCCTGAAACCTTATTTTATATAACCTGTTTATAGTAATTCCATTTCCCCCAAAACTTTGAATTTAGCATAGGAGCTTATTATAGTAGTTTTCGTTTATGAGCTAAAAATGACAGTTATCAATCTCATAGCTCTTAGTCTCCCACCATCAGAGAGCTATTTGGCAATTCTCACTTCCCTTGCATCAACATTAGCATGAACTCATGGCAGCCCCTGTTGTATAACTGTGTTCCCTGAACTTCACTTAAGCCACCTTGATGATTTTTGTCAGCCTTAAGTGCCACTGGTTCTACTTAAACATTTTAATCTACCATAAATGACTTTTTAGGTTTTTTTAAGCAGTACTACCCATAAAATCATTAATCTGGGGGCCAGCAGGAGGCATGATGATCAAGGGAGCTGGACTTCCACATGGCCAAAAGTGGTCTGAGTCCCAGACCTGACGGCTTGCTTTCTCACTTTCTCTCTCTTTCTCTCTCTCTCACTGTGTCCCTCTCTAGTCAAAATAAGTAAATAAATAAATAAAATTAAATAAAATTTTAAAAATCAAGAACCTGTTGTAGTAGTTACATTTTTTCTGCATCATATTAAAGTAAATACACTTAGAGCCATTAAAACAATGTTAGTGTTCCTCTGTACTGCAATGGCATGAATATAGTTCCCCTCTTAGAGAAATTCCTATTTGGTAGATTGGAAATGCGAGACCAGCCTTGCAAGCTAATGATGTCATTTTTATTACTGTATCTCCGATAATGGGAGCGAGCTGCTTCCATTCCTTTAGGATGTGGAAAGCTGAGAAAGTTGGGGAATATGCGAATTTTAAACCTTTGTGCTTTCTCCTGCAAGATTATTGCAGCAGTATGGACAAAACAAGTATCCCATTTAAGACCATATTTAAAAACTTCCTTTTTTCTTGAGTAAGAATTAATCCGTTAGCCCAAGTCATTTTCTTTTTTGCTTCCTGGAAAACTTTTTTTTTAACAATTATTTTATTGAACTTATGTATTATTGTTATTACTTTTTTAATTTGATCAGAGAGAGACAGAGAGAAAGCAAGTTGCCAGGTCTGGGACTTGAACCATGGCCAGTCATGTGGGAGTCCAGCACCTTAACCACCATACCACCTGCCAGCCCCACTTTCTGGAATACTTCAAAAATATTTTAAAGGATAATTTCCCCCACATCACCTTATGAAAGATTTATTTGAAGATTTTAACCTTTATAATTTGTATAAAACCTATTGCTTTTTCCCATTTGCCCCTTTCAGCACCCCTCCCCCCACTACCACTAGTGATTTATTTGTTCTAGCTATTTAATACCTGGGAAGGTAATGATAAAACAAATAAATGTGCTGTCAAGTTTCTCCATTGAAAATTCTTTTTTTTTGGAGAGGTTTTTTTTTTTTAATTTTTGCTATAGGGCACGTACGCTCACCAGACAGACAGAGAGAGACAGAGAGACAGAAAGCAAGAAATCACCCCCCAGGGAGGATGGCCACGCCGCAGTCCCTTCTCCTCCATTCTCCTCTCGGGATCTTGGGCACGCGCCCGGCGTGCTTTTAAGCCGCTGGGTCCCGGACTTGAACCACGGTCGACTACGTGGGAATCCAGCAACATAGCCATTATGCTAACTGCTGGTCCCCTCTCCATTGAAAATTCTACCTAAAATGATATGTGACTAATGAACAGCTGTCTCTCTCTTTCTTGCTTTCTTTTTTCCCTTAACCTTTATCTTTTTCTTTAACTTCTATCCTTCCCAGCTTGTTCAAACCCTTCCTTCAGGTTCACAAAAATATGTTCTATGGCTTTCTTAATCTCTAAAAATAAGCATAAACTGTAAATATTAAATAAGGCCCGTCATTCATCATAAATAATTTACGTGGTTCCTTTGATGTCAAGGAATGATGTACGAGAACCCACTTGTACACTGTTTGCTGAAACGGTACCTCTTACACTTCAGGCATATAAACGTCATTGGTTGGGGCAAAAAGCCTACTCTAAACTGGACATTCTTGTGTTTTATAATAGCTTGTGTTCCAGTGCTTCCCCTACCAAACAGCATCAGTCATGTCTTTGTCATTTGAGGACTTAATGTGCCCTGAGCCCAAGCTCCGGGAGCGTCCCACACTGTCCCACATGCAGGAAGTAGTTTATGGTGCTGGTCGTTCTGCAGTGACTGCTGCTTTTCACTTGGAAGTGCCTCCATTTCCTAGTTAGTTACTAAATGTAGTCCATGTTTAATTTGAAATACTGAAGAAAAGTAGATCCACTTCCACTTGCACTGGAGCATTCCAGGCCACAGTGCCAACAAGCAGGCCTTTAGAATCAGCACTAACGGGACAGCTCTGCTAAACCACTGCGCCTCAGTTTACTCACTCACAATGGAGGGACAAATCAGCATGTAGTCGAAGTGACAGTTGGTGGTCGAAGGTGCTAGACTCCCATATGGCAGATCATGGTTCAAGTCCCGGACCTGGCAGTTTCCTTTCTCACTTTCCCTCTCCCTGTCCCTCCCTGTCCCTCCCTCCCTCCCTCCCTCCCTCTCTCTCTCTCCCTCGCCACAGTGCCAACAAGCAGGCCTTTAGAATCAGCACTAACGGGACAGCTCTGCTAAACCACTGCGCCTCAGTTTACTCACTCACAATGGAGGGACAAATCAGCATGTAGTCGAAGTGACAGTTGGTGGTCGAAGGTGCTAGACTCCCATATGGCAGATCATGGTTCAAGTCCCGGACCTGGCAGTTTCCTTTCTCACTTTCCCTCTCCCTGTCCCTCCCTGTCCCTCCCTCCCTCCCTCCCTCCCTCTCTCTCTGTCCCTCTCTGGTCAAATTAAAATAAAGCTAAATAAAATAATTCTTAAAAAAAAAAAATAAATGACTTAAATCAGACCAGAGGGAATACATCCCAGATTCTTTGTATTCACATTAAGTATGTTTGTATGAATACAGTTATTAGCTATTTTGTTTTTAAGCCAAATCATTTTCAGATCTTACGGCATATGCTGGGTAAGGCGCTGTCTGTGCTCTCCATCCATCTGCCATGAGTTCCTTAGGGGCTGTAGAGTAAAACTAGCTCCTCGAGTCTGAGTCTGCACCTGGAAGATGAAGAAGTTGCAGTCAGTTCTAGCTGTAGGATTTCTTCCAGTTCTTACGTTCTAATCTGTACATGTGACTATGTAATTACTCATTTTAAAGTTTTATGTAATTGAATCTGATCATTAATATCTAACAAAAAATGTTCCAGATACACAGGCAAAGGGTTACTGTATCAAGCCTCTGTTATGTTGGGTGACTTGGAGATGCCTTGTCACCTGGTATGTGCTTCCAACACCAGTTACCTTTCTTGGCTCACGAAAGGTAAGCTTCTGCCTCTCTTTTACCAGATGTCACTACTCCTGACTCTCCAAGGAGCACTGTGGAATCATCTGTGGTGAATGGAGGTTCAACATCACAGACAAAGGCAAATGGGTTAACTCCCGCACAGCAGGTGCCCGTGTCCCGGAAGAAGCTCCTCAAAGCCCCAACTCTGGCCGAACTGGACAGCTCTGACTCAGAGGTGAGGCCTCTTCTCGCACAGCACGGCTTCGAGTCCAGGCTGCTGTGGCTCCCTGACCCAGTTCACTGTCATGTTGCTTCTGTTGTTGCTTCATCGCTTCTCATTTTCCAATCAGTAAAGCTAGAATTAAAATTACCTTGGTTAGCGGAAAATGAACGGTGGCTTACTTACCAGTATTAGTAAAGTTCAGTAGAGTGTACTTTATAGATCAGATTTTGATATAGTTTAAAATTGTAAGTAGGGTTAATCTAACTGAGCAATTTTCAAGCTTATAATATCTAGATATAGTCCTCTTTGCTTGGGGAAGGAAAAAAGTCAAGAAAAATGTATTTCTGTAGGTTCTTCTCTCACAGCACACAAACACATGCAAATGCCCATACATAGGACTGTCCTTCCTGTAAAATACCAGTGAACAAGCCTCTGAAACGGAAACTCTCAATCCTCGTAGTATTCACCAGAGTTCATCCTTCACCTGCCGCCCGTCTGGGGGAAAATCTCGCATTCTCGATTTCGACACCCACCTCTGTGTTGACTCCCAAATCTCTCTCGATCATCTCTCTGCACTGCTGGCATTGAACTTATCGCCTGCTGGGTCTCTGTGGCCTGATCCTCAGAATCAGCTGGTGTAAAACAAAATTATCTTATTCTCTTTCTTCTCACTGACACTCTTCTCAGACTGCACACACACACACATGCACGCAAGCGCGTGCATAAGTTCTCATCTTCTGTTCACTGTCTTAGTTACTGGCTCCATCCTCCCCAACTCATCTAATCTGAGGAATTAATCTCTAATTCTTGACTCAGCAATCTCCACCTCCAATCCAAGAAATACCAATAACAACAACAACTAAAGGTCTTTCATACATTAGTAACAATGGCGAAATCTGGGCCAGCAGGTGGGATAGTGGTTAAGGTGCTGGAATCCCACATGGCAGATCACAGTTTGAGTTCCAGAACTGACGACTTGCTTTCTCATTTCCCTTCTCTCTTTCTCTGGTGAGCATTTGTGCCCTACAGCAGACTTAAAAAATAATTAGTTAAAAAAAGAAATCTTTAAAAAAAGAAATCTTATTGCTAACTGATGTTAGTCATTCTCTCTGTCATCACTATCTAATCAGTCTATCTGATTTTTCTTCTTAGCTTCTGAAACCCTATCTTGTACACACCACCATAATCTTTGTCACTCCTGCTTAAAACCTTTGGAAGGCTCTCTTTCACTTACAGGATCAAGCTCCTCCTCCCTACTGAGACATGTAAAAGCCTCCCTGATCAGATGCCTGTGGCTACCTCTGGTGTTCTCACACGTACACTCACAGCTCGCCTCACATTGTAAACCTCAGCCACACACAACCATTTGTTCTTCCTGCACAGTCCAGAGTTCTTCAGCTCTGTCTGGCTGCATCTGGCCCTCGTTTGATAAGAGGACTGAGCAGGAGCATCGTCATGGTGGAGAAGGACTCTTTTTTTACAGATGAAGAAATGGAGGCACAATGGGACCAGCAGTTAGTATAATGGCTGTGTTGCTGAACTCCCATGTAGCCGACCGCAGTTTGAGTCCCAGACCCGATGGCTTAAACTCACGCTGGGCGCATGTGCGTGCGTGCCCAAGATCCCAAAAGGAGAATGGAGGAGAAGGGATTGCGGCGTGGCCATCCTCCCTGGGGGGTGATTTCTCGCTTTTTGTCTCTCTGTCTCTCTCTTTCTGGCGAGCACATATGTCCTATAGCAAAAACCTCTTAGAATCATAATTTTTTTAAAAAAATGTCATGAGCATTTTCTCACCTGATTAAATGTCCTTTTCTAGCATAATGCCTAATATCTGTGTGATATCCCCTCATCATAATTTACCATATTTTATTTACCTCATCCCCTGTTCTGAAACATTTGGCTCACTTCCTGTTTTCTGCCATTATAAATAACAGTACTTTTAAGAATATCCTACGTTACATTTTTACTTTGAATTATTGCACAGAATATTTCTCGAATTACATGTGCAAAGTAGAAGAATGCCCATTTTTATAGCTTTTGTTACATATTGCCAAGTTTCTTAAAGCTACAAGGGTCCTCAGATGGCACGGTGGTTAAGGTGCTGGACTCCCACATGGCCAGCCATGATTCGAGTCCCGGACCTGGTGGCTTGCTTTCTGACTTTCTCTCTCTCTGTCCCTATCTGGTCAAATGAAAATGAATAAGTAGAATTAAATAAAATGATACTTTAGACAAAAGAAAGAAAGCTAGCCAGCCACAGTAGCTACTTTTGTTGAGCTAACTCCTGCTCCACTTAAAATATTAATGTGTCTTCACAAAGACCCTAGAAAGTAGCGATGATCATTATGTAAAATATAAAGAAACAAACACAGAGAAATGTTGTCTTAGTTCAGAGTTAGTAAGTGATGGTTGGATTTGAAACCCAAACCTAACCCCAAAGTCTTTGAATCTCATGAGCTCACTGGTATTCAAACTGACAGTATATGAGAAGGCCTGAATTTTTAAAAATAGTTTTTTAATTGAAAGAGGCCTTAGAAAAATTTGTCCAGAATTGGCTAGCCTTCTAGCCTAGTGGTGGTTAAGGAAGCCAGATCCCATCCTTGTGTTCCAAATCATTACTTCACAGTGAGAAAAACTGAGCCTCTAGTGGAGGTGGAGACACATGGTTATAACAGGTTAGAAAAGCCATGCAGGGCTTTAGTAGCAGAACCCCTAGTAAAGTCTGCCTCCACACCAGGCCTTTAGTTCCTGGAAACCTTGGTTCAGTGCCTCTGACTTCTCTGTAGTAACCTCTGCCAGACTGTCTCAGGTGACTTTTTAAAAATATATATTATTTATTTAATTGTACTTATTTTTTTAATTTGGCCAGAGAGAAACAGAGTAAGGGAAAGTGGGAAAGCAAGTTGCTAGGTCCAGGTCACGAACCACGGTTAGCCATGTGGGAAACCACCTGAACCGCCACACCACCTGCTGGCCCCTCAGGTAACTTCTTTTTAAATGACAGGTAAGTTTTGATTGCAGCCATATCAACGGTTCCAGTAGGAGAGCCAAGTAAAGGAGCTGTTTCTGAGCCTTCGCTAAGCTGCTTTTCAGGAAAGGGAAGGTCCCCACTCCTGTTAAGTGAGTGGGTGGGCAGATGGGCCTCTGAGACGATGCCGCCAACATTGGATGACAGTGACTCTCTGGGAGCAAAGCACAGGGCAGGAGGCTCTCCAGCAGCCGCAGGCCTAACCAGAGAAGTCCTGACTCAGTGAGTATCTAGACCAGTCAGAGGACCAGACAGCAAACCAGGACAGGCAATAGAAAAGACTGATGTCAGAGACCCATCAGAATTCCTCAGACAGGCAAAATGGCTAGTCAACAGAAATAGACATGAATGGACAAGCACAAGCAGTAGTCTTTGTGCACACACACGGACATAGCGTGCGCACACACACACAGACACACACACACACACAATGTGCACAAATACCCCTCACCCAGGGAAGCTGACCTCCCAAAGTTTCCAGACTCTAATTCTGGTTTTCTCTGTGATTCTTCTGCTGTAGGAAGTAATCCTAGAGATTAGTTTTCAGTCAGTCAGAAAATCGTGTGTGGCTGCCTATGGTGGGCATGTAGGGACAGAGGACCATCGACAGCTTGGCAGGGGTGCAATTTAATATTTAATACAAGGAGAAGGGATTGTGGTGTGATCACACCCCGCCGGCCTTGCTTTCTTCTTCTCTTCTGTCTGTTTATGTGTCTCTGGCAAGCCCATGCACCCTCTTGCAAATTTTTTTAATTAACTCTTTTTTTTTAAAGTGAGAGTGCAGTAGCAATGTTTAGCATTACTGGTGGGAAAATCAGACTATTGCCTTTAACTTCACCCAAATAGAAAATGTAATTTCCCTAGAGCCACCTCTGCGAGTTTTCAGCATTTTTTGGAAGGAGGAATTGAGGAAAGATACTTCTTTTCAGTTTATACATTTGACCTGGAAAGGGTCATGAAAGCCTTCCCATCTAACCGCCTCGTTTCCTAGGTGAAAACGATGCTCAGAGAAGTTATGTGCCCAGGTCCTCCTGACTTACTAGAGCAGCACTGGCTCTTTAAGGCACAACTCAACTGTCCAGTTAAGTTGCCTTGATTCCTTAAAGAATTTTCAAGACCATCAAACACTGCATCATCATTTAAAGATCAGAAGTAGTGTTGGAAAAATCTAGCTTTGATGTTTTGTAGAGCTTCACTGAGATGAAGGTATGAAGGAGAAGAGGCCCCCAGTGAAGCGTTCCTCCACAGCTCTCATTGTTTGGGAAGTCGCTATGTAAAAAAAGACATGAAATAACTGAGTAAGCATGAGAGGGGCCCATGGCATATGTAGTCAGGTGACAGATGGCATGCTGGGAGCAGAGTGGGAAATATAAATATTTTAATATTTTATACAAATACAAATTTTTTTTATTTTATATGTAGTTACTTCTGAAGGACAAGAGTATGCCCTGACCCCAGTACTTCAAAAGAATCTGTTAGACTTTCTCGTATTTCATTGTCTTTGACATTTTAACATTCGTAGTGGTGAAACTATTGATCTTTTTCATTTGCTTAAAAGAGACTTCATTCTTACTGATTTACTTACTTATAGAGCCAATTTTTTTTCCAGAGGTAATTTTTTATGGAAATAATTATATGTTCATTCTACAGAACTTCATAACCAGGTTCCACTTATGAGTAAAGAAGCATAATCTGTTTCTTTCTTAACACTAGCAAAGGTGACAACATAAAATTAGACTTTTCAAAATGTTTCTGGGCAGCCGGTGCATAGCCTTGTGATTAAGAGCAGCTAGATCCCACACAGCCCATGAGGGTTTGCATTCCAGCCCCAAAGACTTGAGAAACATACTGGGCATGTGTGTGTGCATGCCCGGACCCTTGACAGGATAGAGAAATGGAAGACAAGAGGTTGCAGCACGACCACGCCCCATTGGGGGGGTGCCTTCCCCCTTCCTCTATTTCTTTTTTCTTTTTGAGAGTTTTT